GAGAGAGAGAGAGAGAGAGAGAGAGAGAGAGAGAGAGAGAGAGAGAGAGAGAGAGAGAGAGAGATGAGCACAGAGGTCGACAGACACAAGCAGAGGGAAGATGAGAGGCAGACAAACAACTATACAACAAGGAAGTGGAAGAGGGGAGGCATAGAGAACCAAATCTATTTTCATGCGGGTTTCGGTGAGGGCTGGCATGATGTCATGCATCTGACTGTTGGTATAAACATTGCACAAGCTGCTTCGGGCCCTAAAGTGATCAAGCATCACCATCTTGGCTACATTTTGGAGGGTCGAGGGTCGAGGTGGGTAAACCCTAATCACTCCAGTGGAGCCGGACTCGGCAATCCTGCGCTACAACTCTGACTTTGTATTTTCCGGCCTTGCTGGGTTTCTTACGCCAATACCAATGCCATCGCCTCCTTCTGTTGGGTTGTTGTGTTACAGGAGGGAGCCAGATGATCCAGTGGTCTTGCGCTGCCCAGTTTCAGATGTGGAGAAAACTTATGATGCCTTAGTTGGTTTTGCATTTCGAGCACAGCAGGAAGGTGAGAAACTGTGGTGAAATTTTCTGTCTGTGTCCGACTTTCACAAGAGCCTTTACTGATTTTGTCCTACAGCAGTGTTTCACTGCATTTGGAAGCTTGTGACAGTATTTGTCCCTCAAAAGGTGTCAAATGGTGCCAAGGGGCTTCTGTTGGGCGTTAGCACATGGAAGTGAGGAACACTTACGGAACGAGTGCCAACTCACCAATCCAAGTAGAATCTATCTCGCGAAAAACGATAGCATTTTGATGGAAATTAGGTACAGGAAAAGGACAAGTGGCGTGCACACATAATGAGTGCGAAGTGACCTATCGAATGAGTATCAATGTAATAGGATCCATCCCACAAAGGACAGCAGCATATTGAAACGGACAATAAACTTCTGTCCTCCTTTTCCTTCTCCCAACAATCTCCCCTGCATCGCGGCCTGTCCTCGCCCGCTACCTAGAACATCCGTTGCCTTCTCCCAAACACCGTGCTGGCCTTCTTCCAAACTTCTTCCTAAACCTCACAAACTTACTAGTCCCCAACATCTTAGCTTGCTTTCCACAGACTCTGCTTTCTTCTTCTTTTATACACTGGCACCGCTCTGTTGCTTTTCCTCGAGCCCTGAACCTCCACTCTTTAAGCATTCTGTCTAACACCTTTCCCTCACCCTGTGGGAAGTTCTGCCTCCTCACTTTTGATTTCCGAGATTCTGCCCTAGCGTGCAAGCATATAATTGTGGCTCCCATGGAGCTCCTTGAACGTGTTTTGCATCTTCCATCCTCCCAACCTTCCTTGCCACCTTCCTTCTCAACAATCCCTTGTAGGCTATCATGTCCACCCTCCTCACCAGCTCCCTTGCCTCCCAAACTCTGTCCAAGCCTCCTTCTGAGGCCCCCTTTCTGTCCAGGTCAACCCCATATCTCAGCCTTCCAATTAGCTACTGCCCACCTTACCCTCTGCTCTCCTTGTCTCCTCCTTCCTCGAATGCACTTTTGGAGACAAACCTTGAGCCGTGCTGTCCATCCCATGCGCATTTCGACAGTACAGTCCCGTGCTGGGCAGATGTGCCCCCAAGCTTTCTCTCACTTGCCAAAGTTTGAGGGTGCTGGTGGTTCGACCGGGACAATCTGGAATGGTTGGCCTCAATAGCCTACCAGTGGACTGAGTATTGCATCAGTAAGGATGGATGGAACTTGACATTACGACAGAGGAAGTGCTTCTGCATGATCCAAGTTTCCGTGGATGCCCAGATGGACTCCACTCATTCACTCATCTGTTATCCCGAATCAATAATCAGAAGAAAAAACAGAGACAAGAAAGAATAATGTTGACACCCTCCATGCGTTCCGCTTTCCCCCAGAATATTTCTTGACTGAAGGATGTGAATTTTAGAGGCCAGCATACTCAAGATCTTGATTGCCATATTTTCTGGAACTTTGTCGTTGAAATGGATCTATCCCGGATCTTGTAAATTCCAAAGTTTTTTTTTTAAAGTTTGCTGTGCATGTGGCATAGCTTCCCAAGACAGGCCTTTTACCGTGCATCTGCACTTATCAGTGTATTTCTCCCTCTGCTTCGACTTCGTCTGTGACACAGTTGGCAGCAAGCTGTTGAGCCACAGGTGGCGGATGATTCTTCAAAATTTTGTGCATTACTATCGCATACGAGAGCTTCGGGGTGCTTTGGGGATTGTCCAGGCTATGACATCCATGTTTGAACCATCTCTGGAATACCTCACCACGGTAATCATGGAGTGGCTGCCTGTCTGCCAAGCAGCCAAAGATCTGAAGTTGATGAAGGAAGAGTTGAAGCTTCACACAAGTATAGCTGCAAGTAAGAAGGGATTTTCCTGAAAGTCTCCATTTCGTGGTCATCTGTGCCCTTTTTACAAGGAGATTACAAGTTGATAGGTGGTGTTCAGCGTTGCCATGGTTGACAAGCTGTCTCTGGTAACATGAGGCCTACGTGGAATGCAATACTGGATCTCAACTATAATCAGGATGAGAAAGAACCTGTCTGCACCAGTTGCTATGGTGTACGCAGATTATTTTCGTCATTTAGAATTTTGAGAGAGAGGGAGGAGGGGGGGGGGGGGGAGAGAGAGAGAGAGAGAGAGAGAGAGAGAGAGAGAGAGAGAGAGAGAGAGAGAGAGATCAGGTATGTTTTCTGATCATCAGTAGAGTTGTCACTGTTTCTGCTGGATGGATGGGTAGGCATTTGCTGCTTGACTGTACAGACGTGGTGGGCGCTGTGCTTGCTCCATACTTCTCCCGATGTCTGGATCCGTATTGATGTGTATGGTCTCTTTGTGTCCGTTTCCTGTTGGCTTGTGTTTCTGCTTGCTTCCCTGTCTATTTTTTTAATTGTTGCTTTGTGGCGGTTACCTAGGGAGATATCCCGGGCGCCAGGGTCCCGATATCACGCCTGTATTGGCGACCAGGTGACCGGCCGGGCATGACCCCCGGGCATGGCCCCGGGCAGCCCCGATGAAAAAAAAAAAAAAAAATCAAATCCAAAAAATCTGAAAGAATTATGTTGTGTAGAATTGCAATACAAACAACTTTTGGTTGAGGGTCACATCAGAATTCCTCACAGAAGTAAAGATAAAAAAGAAAATAACCATATCACACTAAGGCCCCCCCCTTTAAACCCCTTTAGCCCCTTTAAAATTCATTTACACTCCCCTTTCCCCCCCTTGACAGCCAACACTCAAAAAAAGAAAAGAGCCCGGATTTGGGTTCCTCTAGGAGAGCGCGGAAAAACCCCACCGCCTTTTTTTTTTTTTTTTCCATGACCGGGTCACCCGGACGTCCCCCCGGCCGGTCATGAAAATCTTCCTACGCGGTTACTGTATTTTGTTGGGCAATTGAGAACTAAGAGGCAGAAAAGAATGGATAATGACGATACGTGAACTACAGAATTGGTTCTCAACTTCTCATAGATTGCCAGCAATTTGGGACTGGAGACTTGTTGTGAGGAAACCCATGGCTGGGTGAGCCGGTAACTTAGAGCTCAAGTACTTTCATGTGTTGCTTTTTCTTAGGGTTCTCTACTGCAATCCTCGGATTGCCCTTCACCCTGGCCCCTCTTCACCACTGATTGGAGTTGTGACCTTGTGGGTTTTGTTAAGTAGAGGGAACGGCAGATGTCTCATCTTCTGCTTCTTGTGCCATTGGTGCTTAGCAGTGTGTGGCTTTGCGTTTGATGTCGTGACAAATGGCAGCTCTGGTGAAGAAGGCGGTTGATGCAATTGAGAGCTTTCCAGACACTTTTAGGGAGAACAAGCCTGAGGGTGCACTGGAACTCCTGATCAAGCTTTTGGCCCTCGTCCTTCGCTGGGATCCTGACCCAAATGAGCTTGTAGTGCCTCTGGCAACATGGATCGAGGTGGGTCTCTGTTTTTTTTTTGAAGGGCGGCAGTCTTGGGATATTGTCTTTGAACTTACTGGCCTCAAGTAAATTCAGACTTGCTAATCTTATACCAATGGAAACTCGAACTCAGGCTGTGCTTCAACAGTTCATGCGTGTACCAACTGAGCTAGGCCAGTTGGCAGGTGGGTCTCTTTTCTAAGATTTATTCGTCGTTTTTCGTATACTGTAACCGTGCATGCTGAGGTTGTTGCAGTAGGGAGGGGTTTTGGCAGATTCATCAAGGATGCGTCTCCCAATTGCTGAGATTGTGCTGAACTGGCTCAGCTGGGGCAAAATTCCTTGGACTTCAGTCGAGAGTTTTGTCTTTAGATTCCAGACCAGGATTTACAAGGCCTAGCTTGAAAATAATTATGGTAAGATGTGTGCACTTCAGACAAGACTGGCACAGAGTTTCCACGCCAGATTGTTAGCCATTCGGCATGTCACTGTGGACAACTCTTCGGTGACAGGCGATCGATCGCGAGTGAAAGAACACTCAGTGGAATTAGTTCGAACACTGAAGTTCGATGGCCAACTCAACCAAGGATTTGGATTGGTTTTGTTTTTTTTTCTTTCACCAAAGACCTTGTGAGATGGCGAGACTGTGATGAGCTTCGGTTTGTCGTAAGGGGAAAGGAGTAGGAGAGTCCTTGTCACACACAATGATGCACATAATGTGGGGGGTAGGAGTGGTGTCTACTGTTGCATGTGCTATGACTATGGGAGATGTCCACGTGAAAAGCATATTCAATTACGATCCAATTCTCTCGATCTGAAATTATGAGAAATCATGATCCTCTGTGCTCTGGTCTTCTCACTTTCATCCACCACTACGCTTTGTATTTCAGGTACCGGATCTACTTTACCCCATTCCTTGAATGCCCAAGCAGGAGATCAAAATCGTCATGAAGAACCCAAAAGCATCTCAATTCGTTTGTTGATGAATCTATGATCCCGTTCCTAGAAAATTTGTGATTCCTTTGTAAATGAATCTCTGATTCGTTTGTTAATTAATACATCTGCATACCGACTACCGCGGAGAACCGAGTCAGGAATCATTCTGATCAAGTTGTAGGGCCATAGCTATTAACTGAGTGAAAGTTCTAGGTTCAGAAGTCCATCCTACGGTCTCTCAGGTGGAGCCAGATAGTCCTTAGGTCGGTGGGCCTCGGGTCAAGGGTCAAGAGGGGGCCCGCCAGAGCCTCTAGAGGTGAAAGTAGCTGCTCGGAAAGTCAGTCAGGCCCAACCCGGTCATAGAAGTCAAAGAGTCAAATATTTTTCTCAGGAGTCAACCATGGCCACAGATCACACACAAATCCACAGGCTCGGCGCAGTTTCCAGAAGCTTTCAACGCCGGTTGGGTCCAGGCCCACACTGGCTGCAAGAAAATCTTGGGCGTGCGGATTGGGAGACAGCAACGTAAGGGCCATCTGGTGGCAGGGCAGGCCCAGTCAACACCACAAAAACTGGGCCTGCCATAGGTCGTGCCAGCGTTCTGCCTTGGACTGCTTTGAGGCTGGAGCGCTGATGCTGGAGCGCTACCAAATGTCACACACACACACACACACACGCACACACACACACACACACACACACACACACGCACACACACACACACACACACACACACAGAGAGAGAGAGAGAGAGAGAGAGAGAGAGAGAGAGAGAGAGAGAGAAGCATTGCTTGGACTGGTGGTATTCTTCATTGCGGGAGATTAATATTGGATTGTGAGGTGCTTGTGGGGGGCAAATACAAAAAAAAAAAGGAAACACAGATTCGGCCGTGATATTGGCTGGATACATTCCTCTGAGTGCCAGTGTGATCACGGTTGAGGAAACACAGCTTGAGCAAATGACGGACTATGCCCTGCCTCACTGGCAGGGGACTCGTAAGAGTAAGAAAAGAAAGCAAAAAAGAAAGCAACAATATCCACAATCTGACCGTTGTAGCAGCAAGATCCGTTCTGTGGAGGACTACTGTGAGCACAGCCTCCTAGACTGCCCTACCCGACATCATTGCAGTAGAGAAAGTATCTTTCTTTTTTTTTTTTTCTTTTTTTTTTCCCTTCCCCTTTCATGAGCGTGCAATATCAAACTAAACTTTATTCTTCTTGCCGAGCCTCTGGGACCTCTGAACTTCCAGGGGAGAATGGGAAAACTGCCAGTTTTGAAGTTTTCACTATTTTCCCAACACTGGTGGAGGTACACGTGGTTTAAGGGAAGTTCATTAGATTCCCCGTCCATTATGTGACATTATGGTCTGCTTTAGAGTGGTGTACCCTTTCCATGAGCACTTGGGGGTGTATGTCCCCAAGTGCACTCCCATTCTTTGTGCTTCGCCCCCTTACCTTGCCTCCATACTGGCACTGAAGTACTTCCCCTTTCCTGTTGCTTGTTCGTTCTTGGACGTTTGCTGTTTCTATGCTGAAAGAGTTTCTGACTTTTTTTGGTGCAGTCATGGTAACCAATTTCTTTTTTGTATGAGGTTTGAGAGATTGCTGGCAAGCAAGATTTGCTAACAGGCAAGTGGATGTACCATGCAGCTCTATTATGCAACTTCACTGTGCTACTTTAAACGTATATTTCTGGAGAGTCAAAAGACTCAAAACACTTTTGGAAGCACCAAGACGTTTGGCCTCCCTTTTCAACCCTGTTCTTTTGTCCTATTCTGAGCGTTCCCTCATATTTCTACTTCTTTCTACTTTCTTGTGCATGGTTGACATGCAGAGCTATGTCCTTCCTTTGCCAATGCACGGATTTGTCTGGTCAGGTTATACAAGTGCATGTCGAAAGCACCCTTGTATGGGGGAACTGCTTGGATTCGTATGCTGTGAACTCTGCCACTTGAAACGGCCATAAGTAGCTAGTTGGGATGGCAATGCACCAGTGCTGTTGGGCTGTTTCTTCCCTTGGTATAGGGATATTTTCTTTGTACTCAAGGAGAGGTGATTGACGCTGTGTGTACTGAAAACTGCCGGACTGTTGCTGATGGATCTATGTGTGCGATGTGATATACAGAGGTCTTGTGAAATCCGATTTGCACGCTATTTGTTCGGTGCGTCTTCTGAGGATGCGAGGAAGGGATCTTCAGGGAATTCAGTTGAGTCTTCGGCGAAGTTTGTTGAGACAATCGAAAGCATCCGGAAGGACCTTGAGGAGTACAAAGTGTTTGAGGGCTCATTCCCCAAAGGGTTCAACCTGCGCGCTATAGCAGGTGTCGCCTACTATAGACTCGTAAGTTCCCAAAATGTGATGTTATGTTGTTTGAAGAACTGAGCAGGTCACTTATCAAAGTTGTCTCCCTTGGGGGGATTGCTTTGAACCTTGCAATCGTGGCTGTCTTATGTTTTTTTGCAATTTGCGAGCTGGACTGAACTGGGTGGATTCATGTAGGGTATTGGCATCATGCTTTCAGGTGAACCTTGCTTCTTACTGGTCAAACCCAGCATCCTGGGCCAATTAAACCACCAGTTTTAGGCGGGGACCTCCGGAGCGTGTAGTCTTATACGCAGAGACCGTGCTATCCATGTACTGGCCTGCATGCGGCCGGTTTGATATGTACCCATCGGAGAAAATCGGGCACCTGGGGCTGGTCGCTTAGAAAGTACATTCATAAATGGGGTCTGGCTTACAAGGGCATAACACTGGATTCCTCTGTGCAGGCATATGAGGAATGAGGCAAAAGAACTGCTCATAATGAGGCAGTGGATGAGGATTTCCTTAGTGGTTCTTCGGACCGTTATTGGGCATTTGGTGAACTGCTTTGCTGATGCTTAGAAAATGGCTCAAAAGCGCTGTCTATTTGAGTGTTGTCTTTTCCTGTTTGTGGATTTCTTTGTTTGTGTAGGAGGTGGGAAATGATGGAAAACCAGGCGTAAACATGTTGATGACATCTTATGAGAAGAGAAGGTGGAGAATGGTGCTGCCAGTGAGGTTGGCTCCTTGTCTGGAAGGTTGATGGAAATAATACAAGATGTTATGATGTCCGTGTAGGTCTTTTGTGTTCAAACCTTTCGCACTGCCGACAGAGGCACACGATTGTCGGGGGTGTTCTGTTGTGGTTGGCAGCACACTCTGAACTATCTAACCATGCGCTGCAGTAGGTATTCCTTTCAACAAATATGGAGCGCATGGCGTCACAGAATGGTCTGGGCATGTGAAACAGCCTTCCATCTGATTCCTACCCCAATCCAGAGGAGAGCTACAATGGCTTCTGCCGTCCTACCCAAGAACGTGACAGTAATAAGGAGGCCAACTTTTTGAAAAGCCTCCTTTTTACATGCCCTGGTATTGGGACAGGGCACTGACACTGACTTCCTCTAATCAACCTCCCCTTGTGCTGTTGACGTCAGGTTGGCTCGATGGGCGGCTTCAATGTTGAACTTGAGCGTCGAGGACAGACTGGCAGGCAGATGGGCGAACAGTCACATGAACAGAAACATGGGCCGACAGACAGACAGACAGACAGACAGGTGGACAGACAGACAGATTGCTTTTTTTTTCTTTTTACAATAGGGAAGGAAGGTCGGTGAAATGAACTGGGTTTGAAATCCAACGTACTCTTTTTCTTTTGCAAGAGGGCAAGCAAAGTTGGGTGTAACGATCCGGGTTCAATATCCAACACCGGAACGGCCGTGTGAAACCTAAGTCAAAACTGGTCGCTGGCAACAGGTCTGTAGGGTCCCGGAGTTTTTTCGAATGACCCTTAGCCCAGTAGAATTAAGGTCCAGTAATTTTCAGTGAAAGACTTTTGGAAAGCAGTGTTGAGAAACCAGCAGCGCTTTGAAAAGGGGTAGAACCAGGATGGGAACCTGTCTTTGGGTCACAGCTTTTGTCGGAATCAAAGTTCTGGGGTCAAAAAACAAAACTCTCTATTGAGCTCAAAACATGTCTCAAACAGGTCTTAGGTCAGTAGACATGTGGTGAGGAGTCGAATAGAGGTACCCCCCGGGGCCTCTCCAAGTGTCAATAGTAGGCCCTAGGAAACTCAACGGTTCGGTCCTGCCGGGTCCAGTTGTTTTCCTCGGAATCAACAACGACCACAGATCAGACACATCCGAAGGCAGAATATGTATCTGGAAGTTTCCAAGGCCTGCTACGTGAAGGTACACTCAGGTCACAGCAAAAAACCTGGCCCGCTAAGATCAAGAAATCTCAGCCCTTTGAGGAGCCAATTGAGGCAGGCCAGGCTGTGTTGACACTGCAAAAGACTGGTCTGCCTGGTCTCGATTACTTATTCTCCATTGCACTCGTTGCACAACTGCTGTGAGCCAATGTGCTATCACGGTGGAGAGGAGAAGGCATATATATATATATATTGATGCTTAACCACAACCGGGGTTAAGGTGGATTGTCACTTACAGTGTAATCAGTTAGGGGATACTGCAGCCTGTTGAGGGTTCAGCCTCCTGATGAGTCGGTGAAACTCCAACGAAACAGTTTGTCACAGCCCCTCGTTTCTCGTCCTCTTCTCCCTCTCTGCATACGGTTTACTGGGCAGCTCTGTTTGACGATATATATATGTATATTGTTTTTATTTTTGCATGTTATCACTGTGCCCGTTTTTTGCTTTTATTCTTTGTTCCGCGAAGTGCGCTCTTTTAGTTTGTAGTGATGTGACAATATATATATTAATATTACGGTTGACTGGGCATCTCTGTTTGACTAGAGAGAGAGAGAGAGAGAGAGAGAGAGAGTGCCATAGGTAGAGTGATAGAGTGAGTGGTAGCCACAACTAGTAGAAGGTGCTCATGCACCATAGAGAATGAGAGGAGAGGAGAGGAGAAGAGGAAGCTTACCTGGAAAGTGCTTAGCCGCAGAGTGTTTAGCCATAGCTGCTGTAGAGAATGCACCCAGTGGTTGCATGCGCTCGTCATTCTTCATCCAAGAGGTAGTGGTGATGGTGCTGACTGCTATAAGTATGGTGCCACACAGAGGAGGGTGTGTGGTGGAGATTGGGAGGAGGTAACCATTGAAGAAGGCGTGGCAAGTGAAGGAAGAGGAAGCTTACCTATTGGCTGGTGACGATAACAACCTAAAGAGAAGACTCCAAAAGAAGTGGAGAGAGCGACATTGACTTTCCAGACTTCATTCTGTTGGCACTTGTGCTATAGAGGGAGAGAGTGTGGCAATGGTGTTGGTGAGGTCAAGGGATGAAAGAAAGGGTCACCACGGCTTCAGGGTGGAAATGTGGCCATGATTGAAGGAGGAGAGTCCGTGCTGCTTCAGAAGATTATTGCCATTTCGAGTTCCAGCGTTATTGTGCTAGCCTTGGATTGGCCACTGCTAGAGAGACATTGGCTTGGTGTGACATTGTGTTGGGTTCACTGATGGAGGAGCGGGGAGAAGCTAGCCAGCGGATGCATTGAGGTGGGAAAGAAGGAGTCCGAAGTAGGAGAAGGAGAAGCAATTTGAACATTGTAGCCCCTTGGTTATATATTCGTAATTCGTGAAGAAATTTCTAGTGCTTGTGCCCTTCATCACTGCTGCCTCAATTTGGTTATTATCACCGAGAAGATCCTCATGAGCTCAGATGTGACTTGGTTGTGAGATTCTGAAGTTGGGTCCAGTACTTGGGTCCACTACTTTGGTCTTTTCTCTGGTAGGAATCCTTCCGCTCAGTAAATTGAAGTAGTGTTGCAGTTTGGGAGACAGTTGTCCTGTTTTCTCCTCCTGTTTCATGTCCAGTTTCAAAGGGCATTGTCGGAGAACAATTTTCCCCATAGAGCGCAGACTGCATATTCTGGAGGCTGTGTTCTCTCTTTCTCTCTTTTTCTTTTGCGGGGGAGTAGGAGAGGTTGGTTTATGACGGCTGTCGTTCAATGCGAAGAAGCTAAAAACAGAACATGGAGTCAAAGCATGTTTTGGCAGGGTATTGGGGCAGTACTGTAGCATTCCCTTCAATATATATGCATTGGCGGTTAAGGCCTTGGCAACAAGGTATCTCTGCCTGCGCAAGACACCTCTGACCGGTGTTGATTCATAATGACACAGACAGGTCTCAGGAAAAGAATAGGAGATGGGATTGTGAAATTAGATTCTGGAAGGGATCTATTTGAGTTATTTTCCTCTCCGTCTATCGTCCTCTCATCAGGTAAATTGCACAGGGGAAGGTGTGTGTTTCGTATTTGGCAAGCTGCCTAAGTCTGCTTTGCCTTGCTGCGTTCTCTCCCATCGTCAAAGTCCTCCATATCTCAGCGCTGTTGTAAGGAAAGGTGTGTGTTCCGTATTTGGCAAGCTGCCTAAGGTTGTATGCACAAATTGTATTTGCTATTTTCATCATGGTTACGCCATACCTGAACCCAGACATCATCTGTGCAAGGGTTTGATCCCTCGGCATAACCACATAAGGCGCTGCATCAGGCATGCGCCCACGCTATGTGAACTCGTCAATTTTTGCAAATCTTGGTCGGCGCCAGACTGTTGCCACGCGCCAGTTGGTTACATCCGCCTTGCTCGTGAGAATCCACAATATTCGTGAGCCTTCCAGGCTCTTCCAGCGACGTGGTCGAAGCATGGAGTATCGCCCGCTTGCGCCTGGGTGGTTGGGCATGCCTAACCAATTCGGTCCCAGGCCACTGTCTGAACGGGCCTGGGCGCGGACACTTTGGCCGCGACTGAAGCTACTGGGAAGCTCGGTCTGACAGGGCATGGCAAAGCAAAGCAGCCCGCCACTTTCCATACAGGAGAGGGCTGGGCGGATGCGGCAGCGCTGCTGGAGCTAGCGCTCACGGGCTGCTGCGCCAGTGTATGGTGAGTGTGTGTGCACGGGTGTGGTCGTGCAGAAGCAGGGCGCTGCTGTGGGCAGCGCCATAGCCAGCCATAGCCGGGCTGGGTTTGGAGGAGGTCAGCAGAGGTGGCGGTGGTCTTTGAGTATGGGAAGGAGACGTGGGTAGAGAAGACGAGAGAGAGAGAGAGAGAGAGAGAGAGAGAGAGAGAGAGAGAGAGAGAGAGAGAGAGAGAGAGAGAGAGAGAGTCTCTTATACACATCTAGATGTGTATAAGAGAGAGGAGAGAGAGAGAGAGAGAGAGAGAGAGAGAGAGAGAGAGAGAGAGAGAGAGAGAGAGAGAGAGAGGTGAGGATAATGATGTGAGGGCATGTACCTGTTCTTGGCAATAGTCTACAAGGGTCGACGTCTTCATGTACTTTGGTTCTGCTGCTGACGTCAACAGTTGCATTGTCAATTCGTAGGCTGGCAGGACCTGTGTGATTGTAGTCTGGGCGCTGAGTTTAA